TTTGTCGCCGCCTAACGAAAAAGTACCCTAAAAATAATAACTCTTGTGAAAAACACGTTACTTTTCCGCTATCGGAAAGAGGTCTTTTCAGGAACCTTTCTTTTCTCAACCGAGATTTCCACTAGAGCTTCAGCAATCAATCAACAGCGCAAATCTCAGCGGTTCCAACACTGCGCTTTTTCTTCGGAAAAAAAGCCTTTTTATCGTTGCAGCAGCAGAAACGAGATCGAGTTTCACAATCGACGTGCATTCCTGTCGCCTAAGGTATGTGAATTACTGTGTATTGATCGCCTTCTGATCGATCACGCACGATTCACATGTGGCGCGCGAACTTTGTCATTAAATTCAACATTTTTTCTCCGTTTTGGTAGAAACTTTAGAAAAAACTTGTAATTCTGAAACTCCAAGATTTCCTCTACAGATTCAGATGCTTTTCGCGCTCAGATTTAGGCCTAGTGAAAGAATTATTTGGCAATATAAAATGACAATGAAATGCCCAAGCCCACAGAACGATACAACAAAATTTCCTTTCTACAGTTTCAACACGGAAAACCAAGAAATCTTTACGACATGGAGGAACAATTCCCAGATAAATAACGAAATTGCGCGACGCATATGAAGCACAATTTTATCCTGACTATTCAGCGTATAAGAAGGCCTTCCAAGAAACAAGTACCTTTCGAATCACCGAGATTTATTCTCTCCAGTAATCACTGAAAGTCTAGAAAAAAAACCTTTTCAGATAAAAGGCCTCCAAAAAAAAGCTTTCGCGTAAGAAAAAAGTACCAAACAAATGAAAGATCACAGTTCAAAGTGCCCAAAATGGCAACTCGAATAGTAGACAAAACAAAGGGAAACAACTAGCAGTATATAATTCCAAACTGGATCATCTTATAAAATGGCAAACCTTCTTCTAATTCCTTCTTGTAGAAGTCTGCTCTTTCATCAATAAAGGCTTTGAGGAAGATCTCCTTCGTGCCGTCTGAAAAATGATTGTAAAGGTTAATGATACCTAAAATTCTCAAAGGATATAGCTCTCAGCATTGCCCAATCACAAAGAGAAACCTAAGGATTCAACTTCACCAAACATCGATTGAGGTGACAGCATCTAAATCTGGCTTCTATAATGACTCAGAGGTGGCTCACCGATGTATCAGAGTAGTGGTGCTTTTCTTCCAAACAAATATGATATCGATTCGTCGACTACGGCGGAATAGAAGGCTCGGTGAGCCTAGGACAGGGAGTCGAGCCTTCGACCCATGTGCGTGATGCAAGGCACTCTAACCATTGGGCCACGCGTCCCTGATGGTGGTGACAAACCGTATGAAAATGGTCTTGGATTGAGTTCGGTGATTGAGTAGCGCGGTACGCACCTTTTGTCAAGCAACAGCAAGAGAGCACAACCATTGTGACTGAGCTTCTTCTCAATTTTTATTTATTTTTTATCCTACACGCCTCCCGCCTTCCGTCTTCCATATCTACAATATGGATCCCAGCACCTGCACCAATCGTTTCCTGGTATCCAACATTCAGGAAGCTCCATGAATACCTTGCAATGCTGGTAAAGTTCAGTCCTCTTAAGATCTTGAGAGGAACAGTGTACACCTTTCCAACATGGATTTCAGACAGTATTTTTCCTAAACGTCTGGTACCAAATCTCGTTTTGGAGGCTTGATGAGTCTGGGGCGTGATTGAACCAGCACCGTATTTCTGATGATCAACATCGATACCACTGTGCTACCCACCCTTAATCTATGACTGACTAAAGACTGAGTCCTCGTACCTGCTTTCAAAACTGCGACTTACAGGAGTTGGTGAAGTATATATCACACGTTCATCCTCGAGATCAGGAGCACTTAAAAAATGAAGATAAGGTTAAACGATTAAAGGGATTTCCACTTTTTACTCACTTTTAGTAATTTCGTGACCGTGGACCCATCGCCTCTGCCTCTCTAAAACTCAGCATGGGATCGCTGGACGCTATGCTCCACATCCTCTGCATCTCTAACTCCCAGCGTGCCGTTGCTAGACACAACACGTTGGGGCCTGATAATGCAGAAAACGTAGGTCCACGGTCTCAAAAGGGTTAGCATTTGAATAACGTTACAAATATAGAGCCGATAAGGAAGAGTGATATGCAAAATTACAAATCTCATGGGGGTGTCGAACGGGCACTTCACCGTTTCCATGGGGTCGTGGTAACCAACTGCACTACCGGAGCTCCTAAGAGTTCTGCTACTATCTTATTGATCACGAGTACCGATATTCAGCCGAACCCGGGAACAGGGCACCTAAGTCAAACCTAACCGTTGACGACTGCTTGAGATTGATAGCTTGAATCACAGACAGTGTGACAGCAGAACAGAAGCCTCGATGGTGCTGCTGGTTAGCATGCGCTCCCAGAAAGGGTGGCTCGGGTTCAATTCTCTTCTGAGGATCGAAGCCTTGCATATCACTTCACGATAGTGATTTCACCTTTCGGGACCATAGACCCAGCCATCTGCATTCCTAACCCTCAGTGTGCCGCTCCATTGTTAGACGCAACACACGGTGAGGGTTAGAGAAGCCGAGGGTAGGGTCCATGGTCCCGAAAGGGTAAAAAAAAGGCTAAGGGAAGAGACGAGAAAGACGTACCTAAATGGCGAAGGACGACGACGATCCCATCATAAACGGTGAAGACGACCTCGGCGATGAATTTGTGCCATGAATTACCGAGAACATAGCTAAAATACATGAGATAAACGAGAAGAAGAAGCCGGCAAAGAGACAATGGGAGGAGAAAAACGGGACAAATCGGACAAACATTACGGCGAGATAGCGCAGTGGCTAGTGATGCGGTCCACCTAGAAACAATGCGATAGGCATGGTCTGGTTCGATCCCCCTCCACAAAGACCTCTTGCGATGAATCAACGAAAAGCTTAAAAATTGTCTTAGCTCGACTATCTCCAAGATTGCAGGAGAAAAATCTCGACCTTCGACCGAACAGATATTACCTAGGTCGTTTGCATTCTCCACAAAGATCACCGCATATTTCACGGGTAGCTTCTCCTGCTTGAGGAATTCGCCTTCTTTGTGAATGTCGTAGAGTGGTGTTCGAGGCGATTTTTCTTACACTCTTGGATGTAGTCGAGCTGAGGCGTTCGGGTTCTTTTCCGTTATAAGCGCACAAACGAAAAACTAACCTCATTCTCTGGACAGGAACTTTTCATAGGAGTGTTATTAACCATTCGAAAACTGAGACTTCAGGCTACAGCCCCACGTCGCTGGCTCTCGAAGAAGCCTTCTTTTGACGTTGCTACAGAAGGGAATTCCTTGCGTTACAGAAGGGCATAATTCTAGAGGGACAAGCTCTTTTTCCAGACTTTTAGAAATAATTCGATAGCGCAATCGTTGCTGATTTTAACGCTGTTCTTACACCCTGAAAAGACCGTCTCTCTGCAACGCAGCAGGTAAAATATTCAAATTGAAAATTGAAAATTCACATGCGCGAGCAAGAGGGTCTTTGGCCAATTTCACGTGCCTGTACGTGACGCGGTACTTCTCAACGCGTGCACTGGGCCAAAAAATCGATGATCATTGCGTCATCGGACGCAGTCGCCTCACCTAGCCGCGCGTGAATTGGCCAAAGACCCGGAGATGGTCGCAGGTAGCAAATCAACTTATTTAACCTGGCTGTGTTGCAGAGGAAACGGTCTTTCGCGGAGATAAGCACACCGTTGAAATAAGCAAGGATTATGCTGTCGAATGACTGATATTATTCCAAAGAAAGAGCTCTGTCCAGCGAGAAATATACGCGTCTAAGAAAACCGGCGACATGGGGCTGTAGCCTGAATTCTCAGCTTTCGAATGGTTATTAACACTTCTATGAAACGTTTCTGCCCAGAGAATGAGGTCTGTTTTTCATTTGTCCCCTTATAATAAAAAAAAAACCGACGTCCGCTGATTGACTACAAGTTTCAGTGGCGGGGACCGAAACAAGGTACCGCTCATCAGGTCGCTTCCTGACGCACTACATCACTAACCACTGCGCCACATTGTTATTAGAGTATTAGAACAAATAATGCCAGAAGTCACTAGAATCTAGGTTAGCATCAAAGATGAAACCTGATATGAACGAATACCGAACAGAACTACGAGGTCCAGGAGACTAATTGACCGCAATATCGCGTCAATTACTCTGTGTGGAGTATTGTTTCGACGCGAATTCACATCTCCTCGCAAATTCGAATCACTTCATTGACGTTTATCAGAGGTTATCCCTCGGCTTTGTTCGATTTTTTACATATTTGTAGAGATCCATTTTTTTTATAATTTTTATTGTGAAGATATAAAATGTTAGAAACTGGTCTCGATTATGAAATACGCCTATTGTTGGGCTTTATGAGCGTTTATTTTAATAGTTTTTAAAGCATTTTTTACCTTTTTCGACGTAGTTTGGTAGAATATGCCTGGTGCTTATTTTTTGAGCCACGCATGTAAGTGGTATATCAGAGAGGGCTGACTTATAGAGCCCGATACTCGTGTTTAGACCTTGCGGTCTCGTCAGTTGGGCAGTTACCCTTTCTCGTCTTCAATCCTGTGTGGACGGTCCAGTCCCCACACTCTGTAATAGACCACTAACATGCGTGGCTCAAAAAATAATTGCCAGGCATATAGAAATTTGAGCTGTGGTCTTGAGATAACACTCGAAACGAAAGATTTGGTAGAATATCTGGTTGTTTTCTGTTAGACGACAGCAAAGGAATTTTCGACCTCATTTGCTGGGCCAAAATTTTTCATAGCAGTCTTAGCATTCATTCGAAAGCTTAAATCTCTGGCTAGACCCGTACGTGGGCTATTTTTCAAAACACTCTTTTATAACGCTGTAAAATGCACACAAAAATCGGGTTCCACACTCGCCGCTCGCCTTCATTTTTAATGACCGCCTCGCCACCACCGTGGACGGTTGGCTGTTGACAGATAACGCGTTGTAGCGTAGAAATAGTGGAGTGCAAAACGAGCGCCGCTGGTGCAACGGTTCAATCACCGTGCTCCCGGAAAGAGTAAGGTCTGGGTTCGAATCCCAGCTGACGCAAACGTTTTTGCATACCACTCTACATTATTGGGTTTGTTGAAACATCATAACACCGCAATAGGCGGTTAAATAAATTGATTTCCGCCTTGATTCCTATCGCGCGTACAATGCACTGGAAGCACGAAAAGTTTATGGACGTGTAGAGAAAATTTTAAAATCTTTTTTAGAATCCTACATCATTTTTAAACGTCGTATTTTACGCTGGACACGAAGTTTTCAAAAAGAGTGTAAGTATTCATTCGAAAGCTTAAACCTCAGGCTAGCCCCTTTCGTAGCCGCTTTTCTGACAGGGCCCTTTTATAACGCTGTAAAATTCAAGATAAACTTATGTTTTACATCAGCCGCGCATTTCAATTATCACTTTGCTGAGGGCACGAAAAGCACATGAACATGTAGAGAAAATCTTCTAGTATTAGAGTCAGACGTTCAATCTGGAGTTCCTATCAAAGCGGCGAGAAAAAATTCCTATTTGAATAACAAATCGCACTCTGCATGTCTGACACGCCAGGGCATCGATCAATCTTCCCGCCTTGAGCCCGTTGTGGGGCGGTAAACGAAATCGTCGAATATGTGAAACTCGATCTTATTTTCGCTGCTGCACTGCAGTGGAACGGTCTTTCCATAAAACAAGCACAGCGTCGGTATCATTGAAACTTGCGCTACCAAATGATTACCAGCAGTCTAAAAAAAGAGCTATGTCTGGCGAGGTGTAAAGCACAAATGTTTTCTTTCTCTTACAGCTCTATCAAAACAGCTTTTCCGAAGGCAAGCATATTTTTGAGTTCCTTGAGACTCGTGCTATCAGATGAGAAGTAGCTTCCTAAGGAAGGAGTTTCGTCCAGCGAAATATAAACGAGATAAGAGAAAAAAATCCATGTTCGTGAAACACAATTTTATTTTTGGTTGTACAACGTTATAAGAAGGTGTTTTGAAAAACCGCTCACGTACGGCTCTAGCCAGAGATTCAAGCCATCGAATGATTACCAACCTCCCTATGAAAAATCATTGTCCAGCGAACGAGGTCGAATATTCATATGCCGCCGCTTAACGGAATATTTGTGGTGTATATTTCACTCTTTTCTCATAGTCTGATAGAATCCTCCAATCCTTTCAGTGGTTTGATATGGCATATCGAGTGGTATACGTACGTTTCGGTGTTCTCGCACGCCTCATCAGTGCCACATGCCCTACGATTAAATCCTACTAGTAAAGTAGCAGGGGGTGCTGATGTGTCAGTCTAGACGAAGTGAAATATCACTTGATGATGCGGTCTAGACTGATTTGCAGTCTATGGCTTGCGGCTGCTACGATGCACGTAACAATGCCGTCAATCGACTATGTAGGAGACCTTGCTCGAAACCCTATCACCTGTATCACCTGTCGTCCCGTTGATCGTCGAGTGACTTGAGCGGGTACCAGAAACACTTCCATTTTTGTCTATCGCGTGCAAAAGTAGCCCAATGGGTCCTTCTCGCTCTGAGAATTCGCTGAGCATCATGTCTTTCTTCTGTAGCTTTCGTGAAGAAATCGGACCAACGGGTCGGTGGTCTTCATGTGGAGCGCTTGATGTCCCGACGAATCCAGTCGGTAACGGCTCTCGTCCATCGGTTCTTATCTCGTCCAATATCATTTTTTGAACTGATCTTTTCCTTTACATTTTGCTGATTTACGCCACTAATATCCTTGCGAATATCTTGAGTAAGTTGTAGTAAAGTAGATTTAACCTTTGGTTTCAATGCGGTTCAATGTTTTTCGACAGTCTGCCTCCAGTAAGCGCTGCTCACCTAACTCTAAGAAATCAGCAGTCTTATGTATGGATCAAATTCCTTTTTCGGATTATGTGTAAAGCCGTAGATTTACCAAGTTTCGGGTGACTAGTATTGTACAAAGATTATTCTTAAATACGTATGAGCTGATATCTAGTGGTTTTTCAAATCATTTGGACTATGCCCTGTATGGAACGGTTAAAATTTCTTCTATGTCAGTGAGCCTCATCTTTCCAAATTTTAACGAGACCTCTCCTTCGTCGTCCGCCTTGCAATCGATGATCTCTTGAGTTTCTCCACGTTTTTTCCCCTTTCAAACTCTAAGGTTTCTTTGACCTCGAACTCGACCTACCATGTGGCTTTCTATTTGGAAGTATTACGTCAATTTTTTTCTTTTTATTTCAGAATCTGTGAACGTAGAGGAGTTAGGACGACGTTGTTGTTAGCTACTGACCTAACCGGACATGGGAGATGGGAATTGGAACTCTTCACTGCCGTCCCACTCATCACCCGTTATCTCAACACTTTCTCTCAAGTATGTCGGGATTTGATAAATTTGTCTATAAAGCGACGTCTTGTCGAGTTTTTGCTCTTGATTTAGAACGAAGATCTCATTCAAGACTGGAGCAGCGACGGCGGTAACCGTGACACCATTCTATACATTGAAACCAGAGCTACCTCGTAAGTTAAGCATAGAAAAACCAACGTCTCGTGTATGTTTGAGTACTAAAATGCTGTAAGGAGGCTTGTGGCCGAGTAGTTAGCGATGCTTTGTGCAGCTTGACATGGAGACAAATCACACAGCCTCTTCGCACTCCCCAGCAAGCAGTGGAACGCCCAGCCTGGCTTTCTTTGAGATTGCAAGGAGACGTACTCGATCAGTATTCTGCGACGTTTGTGAAGGCGATAGAGCCTCGAGCAAACGAGGAGACAAATCGAGGTCCGAATTCACTGGAATCGCGCAGTATGAATCACTTAAACGGCTCAAACAAAGTAATAAGGAGTCTAACATCGTGCTTTTCTAGTAGTTTTTTGCATGACTGACGTTAGACGTGTATAGTACTTTACTTTAACTGCATTCGGCTTACGTTAAGACGCGTTTTGTCTTCTTCAAAACCTTCCAAAAAAGAATGTTCTAAGCCTAAACGAGGTTACTACGCCAGGGCCACACACCGGTGTTTCGGAGGTTTCGGCCTCCTCATCAGTGACCCCGCCCCACATTAAGCCCAGCAGTGTAGCAAGGAGGGAGGCGTATGTGGTGATGGCATAGTGTATAATGACACTGGTCCATCACCACTTTCAGTCGATGAATTTTGGCTGGTAGACCAATATTGATCCATAAGATCGACTGTTTTTAAAACGTCGTAATAGACATCAAAAAACAGTCGATCTTGTGGATTAATTCTTTAAAACCGACGATTCGAGTCGATTTCCCACAGTCATTCGTACCCGTCGAGATCTAAGTCTTCATTGCTTTCAAGTCGAATCTTCTTCGATGAGCATCTCTGAAATGAAACGCTTCACTTGGCGATGCTGTTATGTACAGGATGGTTGTCGTGTGTCAGTGAATGTCGACAGGTTATATTTTCGTTCCAAGTCGGCATTCCATCCTGTAGGAATCGGTATAAGCACAGTTAGGACGTGACTTAAATCAGTTATAGAATCCGACTTATAACTGTGCTTATACAGACTCCCGCGGAATGGATTGCTCACGTAATATGAAAATATAATTACCTTCGTTTCCAGTGTTTTCTTAAGACCACAGCTCAAATTTCAATATGCCTGTTAATCATTATTTGAGCCACGCATGTCAGTGGTCTGTCAATGAGGGCTGACTTATAGACCCCGATACACGTGTTTCGATCTTGCGATCTCGTCAGTCGGGCAGTTACCCTTTCTTGTCTTTTGCTAATCTCTGTGAGAGCTCCAGTCCCCACCCAGAAAATATAATTGTTTGATAATCACTGAGAAACATCTAGTATCTTGTTTAAAAGGACCGGCTATTGAGGTTTTGCATTCGAGCGCTGCTCCACTGAATAAGGTTTGGCTTGAAGGACAATGAAGACGACGACGTGGACGAACGACTGTAGGCAATCGAGTCGGATCATTAACTGCAAAGAAGACGAAGATGTCAAAACGCTAGCTGAATAAAAGGTTCCACTATCACCCTCATGTTCAGAAATTTGTTGTGTTGTTGCCTCCGTGGGGTCCGCCGTGTCTAAGTGGTTGTGATGCTTGACGCGGCAAGCGTAGTGCCGAACCTGACCCTCAACTCTCCGGCACTCAATATCGAGCGCCCTATGGAAAGCCGCAGCCAGTCTGTCCTCGAGATTACAAGGAGACGTGCTCAACCCGTATTCTGCGACATTCAAGAGAAGGACGATAAAGCGAGTTGAATGCTAGTACTGAGATCCGCACAGTGAAGAAAAAAGCTGTGATGGCACTGAGTTGTAAAATGTATCGTCTCCTCTAGCGCTGCCTCTTGTTGCAATGTTAAAGAGTCTTTTTTTACAATATAACTTGATTGAAATAAAACTTATGATGTAGAGTAGTGTGCAAAAACGTTTGCGTCAGCCGGAATATAAACCCAGATCTTACTCTTTCCGGGAAGCTTCACATACTCCCGGAAAGAGTAAGATCTGGGTTCAAATCCCGGCTGACGCAAACGTTTTTGCACACCACTCTAGATCATTGGGTTTATTTGAACATCATTTCACCGCAATCGGCGGTGAAATAAAATGATTTCCATTGATCAACTTCATTGAGTAAACAAAGTCTCATCCTTATCATTTGGACTTATTAGATTTTCTACATTGGAGGAAAAATACTTAATTGCAGCGAAAAGTCCCATGCTTGGAAGCTCGGATTTACTGACCGCATACGACCTCGGAGCAGTATATAGTCGATATTGTGGAGCCAAAAGAATGCGTGAAGATCTGAACTCGTTCTTACCTCAGATCTATGGAAATTTTAACTTTTCGCAGGCTCAGGACATCAGGTAATGACAATTGTGGTCAAAGATTTACGCTGTTAAGCCTATATTCGACGTATATTGCTTTTTGTAGTGATAGGAAGTACACTATAAGTACTACAACTGTGGAAAAATATCTATAAGTGATGTTTGAATCAATCGAAAGTGTTTGATTTTACTCATTTTCCAGCTCCCTGAAAATGTTAGTGGAGAAGCCTCCTATAACTGGTAAAGAAATCAACACGTTATCTTCCACAGCAATG